AAATAATGATTATCATCGGGAAATATTTAGAATATTGTCACATATGACATATAACCCGACCGTCGGGCAGGGGGATTTGAAAATCTGGCAGCCCGAGTTGAAATCAACCCATCTCGGACGGTCGGGCAGGCAGGTATTTCGAACACTGATATTACATACATGTATATTATACAATTATATTACATTGCACACGCATCATGTTATTGGATTACATTACATTTGCGTTCTAATTTTAAATACAATGTACATATACGTTGACAGATGAAATAAATTTATATTCTCAAGTCTTTTACAATTGATAATAGGCATAGAATCAAACATGTTTTTCACCTTCTAGACATTAACAGTGCGAGCAGAGAGAGCCTTCATCACCTACATGTACGTTACATTCAGCTTCACGTTCGTTTTGACCTCTAAATGTATCACATCCACTTCTATATTTTAACCCGGCCTTTGTGTAAATAAGTACCTTGATATTTTGCATGTACGATTCAAACTGAAGTTCTGATTTTATGGTTGAATAAAATATAAGTGATCGGTTATCTATGAGAAGTGAATGCCAGTTTTGTTTAGCACAATCAAGGTGAGATGAGGTGAAATGGGGTGTAACGACGGGTCCAAGATTATTGCACTTATATAGCGACGTGCATGTACGTGTGTGTGTGTGGCTGCTTGTACTAGTCCGGACTGATGCCGATTTATAGTGCTAGCTCACTGAGATACCAAGCCGCAGTTTAACATGAATACCCCACTCAGACACAGTCTTTGTTTTAGCCCTTTAATGCCGAGGTATGAGGCGGCCAGGGATCGAACACCACACCTTCCGCTCCCCGGGCGGACGCTCTACCACTAGACCAAGCACAATCAAGAATACGTTGTTTCAGAACAAAGATGAACGCTTCCTCAACTATAACAGCGATGGTAATTATGTGATGCCCAATTTAAGTATTTCCCATTACATGTACCGTATTTTATTCTATAACACTGATGCGGATGTCTGGATGTGAACACAGATAAAACACGTAATCAATATTTGATATCTATAACATAATATTTTGTACAGAGTGGATATATAGAGGATTCATCACGAGTGTTTTTTAATATGGGAAATATCAACCGAGTCTTAGTTAATCGGTATTAACGGGACGAGGGTTGATATTTCCCATATTAAAAAACACTCGTGATGAATTCTATTTATCATTTTCACATTTTTGCTTCCAAATTAAGGAATAATTGCATTAAACATTAACATCAGCAACTTGTCGAAATCTTACGTATAGATCGTGCGCAGTGATACATGTTTTCCATAGCCATGTAAACCAAAATAAACAATTCGCTGAGAAAAGAGTTCCTCGGATTATTTTAAACAAAATACTTGAACAGACTTTTGCAGAATAATTGAAACTTTAATAACGGTAACAACAACGATTCTGTGTTATCTGATTATATCTCTGGTGTAACTTCACTTATAATATATAGTTTCAAATCAAACCGCTCGCTCTTCCGGTTATCTAATTTGTATATCTAATTTGCATACTTATGTCATTGGGGTATGACATACATGTTTTTATGTCATAAGCTTATGTCATGGATAAATGCTTAAGTTAAATGATAAATGCCACTCTCACCATGTGCAACAGCATTTGGCAAGCAATAATCTACATTTATCATCCAAAACTGGCTCCCACAGGAGATATCGCTTGGATGAGATCGAGCGATATCTACACTGCCTCGGAATTTTTCCACTTTTATCAACTCGTGTTGATATATTTGATATCAAAAGACACTCGGGTGAGATTCTCTATATGTAACATATTTACAACATTTTCAATGTACAATTTCTATATTTTCCCTTTGAGTGTATCCCCACAACAATATCGGTACTATTTTTGTGTCAGATATTTGAAAGGCATTATTAGCATATATGTTGTATTTACGCACAAGCATTTTAATAGTATACAGTGCTTTGCTTGCCCAATTTGTAGGGATATTAGAAGCTATAGTCCAGATTAGTTGAGGAGTTATCATTGGTGAGTGAGTGAGTATGGTTTTTCACCGCTTTTAGCAATATTCAAGCAATATCACGGCGGGAGACACCAGCAAGGGGCTTCACACATTGCACCGACGTCGGGAATCGAACCCGGGTCTTCGGTGTGACGAACGAACGCTTCAACCACTTGGCTACCCGACCATCCCTAGCTTTCATTAGACCCAAATATTTATAGGAGCTAGCAGTCTTATGTGGTACATTATTATAGGTCATCGAATGCTTTCTAAAAGTCCACGAAAGCGCAGTAAAATTTGTCCTTTTCACGTGTAATGTGTTTCTGTACTTATGCCAGTAAAATGAATATATTGTCCACAGTGGAATGATATTTTTCGGAACACACCTTGGTATTCTCCAATAATGTCTTTTTCTCCTTGGAAAGTATCCAGTCTCTTATTTAGTATATATGCAAATATTTTACTCATCGTGTAATGAGATTCCTCTATAGTTGTTGGGGTCTTCTGTTTGGCCTTCATATGTATGGGTATTGTAATGGATGTCGCTTAAGTACCGGTACTCGGAAGGTTACCTGTAAACCATACTTGGTTCACCAGCACAGCGAGACATGGAATCAGTATATCTGTGGCATTATAAAACTGAGGGAATACCATCATTTCCTGGAGATTTATCAACTTTAGGATTGTCTATTTCATACGATATTTCGTACAATGTAATCTCTGATGATAGATCATCAGGTTGCAGATACCTTTCGCAGTCGGTAAGTGAATGTAATGACTAGAACCCCCCCCCCCCCCGAGTTTCCATCTCCTTGTTCATCTGTTGGTTTAGCAGATTTTTAAAGTGTTCCTGGCAACTGGTGAGTATTACTTGTGACCGACTTGTTTGAATCTTTCTCAACTAATTTCCAAAACCTTTTACAGTCGCGTGTGTCAGCTGCTTGAACTAATTTGCTACTAACATTTAATTTTAAGTCTACAGCTTGAAGGCATATATTCTTAAAGCTATATCTTTCTTGTTTATACAGAAGCAGGTTTTTTTTCTATTTGGGCTAACTCGGAACACGTTTAGAAGTATATATTTAATACTTCTTAAATCAACACAATCGTGATCAAACCACCCAGGCTGTAATGTACCCGAGTGTACTCGGTTTGAGTTTTTTTAACAGTGATCCAATGGATTTCAAAATATCGACAAGACTACCCACAACAGTGTCTGTGTTTTCGCAAACTGTTTCCGTAAACCTGTCAAACTGCTCAAGAGTATAAACTGATTGAAACTGTTCAGCGAATGTTTGTTTAAATGTAACATTCCATATACTTCACTCTCTCAAATCCTGTGAATAAGAGGTTCATATAACATTAACATGATTGCAATCCCTAACACCTTCTCTAAATAATTTCAAAGTTAAGGAAAGAGGGAGATGAACTGAATCGGTGCGTGTGTTTGGTGAAATACACATGGGTCTGGGATGCTGTAACCATTTGCCACTGTGAAAGTAAAAGCTCCTGAAGCGTCTGACAATCTTTCATTGACAATAAAAAGATTTATTTTATTTAAAACAATCTACATATTTCGACGAATTGTCAACTATAATTGTTAATAGTACTGATCCATGTTTGCACGTACAGGTGGGGCAAATTCAACAGGGCAGTAAGTGCCCTCATCAATAGGTAGATGGGCAAGAGAATCATCTTCAATGAAGTAATTTAAGTTACCAGTTCTCGCATTCATGTCACCTCAAAGTGTCAGAACACTGTCCTGATCTTTTCCTTTAGCAAGAGCTATTCGTTGCTCAAGATCTTCCCCGCCACAGCGATTCTCAGCTGTTTCTGGTTAAACCGTTGTACAAACTTCACATGCTTGTTTCCATTAATGATGACACCCCAGTGTCTCATGAGGTGTGAATCCGATTTTCAATATGACCGCCACGCCAGTCACTGTCATCATCCGGAATGAACCATAATTCAGTGAGTATGGTTTTAGCAATATTCCAGCAATATCACGGCGGGGGACACCTGAAATGGGCTTCACACATTGCACCCATGTCGGGAATCGAACCCGGGTCTTTGGCGTTACGAGCAAACGCTTTAACCACTAGGCTACCCGACCGCCCCCAGACACGACGGGAAGTAGGAAACATCCAATATAATGGCGCCGCTATACTTGCTACTTTCGGTAGTTGTTGATTTTGTTCGTTTTCTAGAAACAGAAATCAAACATGTTGGCTTGGATTCTTTTATCAGAGGCAATATTTGCAGGGCGAGCCCTGTATTAAGAAATACTAATCAGTGGTAATTCTCACACCCTCCCCTAAGCCAAACACCCTGATTGGGATACACCTTTGCACTACCTTTGACCTGGAAAGAACACGCAAGTAAGCCACGGTATGTCCTAAAAGGGAGTGAGAGAAGGTATATTCTTAGCTCAGGGATGTTCTTGGACCTACACGTCCAAAAAGGAAATACCCCGATGGTCACTGCGTTGATAACATGGGGGATTGCAGACACGGTACTACTGTCCGAGGTGTAACCTTTTTGGGACCATGGTCAGGAATGTAAGATATGTTGATAAGACATATATATGATTGCGAACCAGCAGAGCGGGGCAGTCGAGGCTGAGCGTTAGAGCTACACTTTGTAACTGTGTCTCAATAACATCGTTGTGGACCCACAGACGGACTCGTGTCGTATGTAGAAGTCAAGACGAAGTATCCCCTAGAACACAACCTTCTACGGCGGATACCTATAAACCTCGATGGTGATTGGCTAACTCCGCGTGCCGCGTGACATCGCCTGTCCAATTAGAATGAATTGCTTCCTTGCAGATGAATACCTACTATCCCCAAACGCTGTGTTCACTCCGATTTCTTGTAATTTCGTTTAGCAGTGGTGGATGTTTATGAATTGGCTACAAAGTCCGATCACGCATAATATAAATATATTTATTGTACATTCAGGTTGTTTGAAGCGCTTGGATGTTTTTTCAGCTCATCCCTTATCACCTGTTTGACATCGAGCGGAGGGAACCTGGCATATGGTCGTCCCTATCTCTTCGTTTCTCAGATAGCCTAATAGCTTGTTGCGCAGATATCTTCCCATTGGTATAAAGCTCCTTCGCCATGGTAGGTGTTCGTTAAAAGAGAACGTTTAGTTATGTTATATGAAACACAAAGAAATAGTTGTTTTATACCAAAAGCGAAACAATTGTCACCTTGCTAACTTTATTCGATTTTTATAACAGACATATTTGAGATTTCATTAACATTTATTACAAAATTTTCTTACGTTTTCAACAAATGGTTAATGTTTAAATGTAGCATGACACAGTACAGTGGCCTCCCCTCTCCCCCTGCGGGTCCTTAAACTGAGAATGAACTTTGTATTACTACCTGTGTATAATTGTAAATATACTACGTCAACCATCTCGATCATCTGCCGAACAGACTCCACCGCAAGAGGCAAAACAGTGATACAAATGAATGGATCACCGAAAATAATCAGTAATGACACCAGCCTAACATGTGTTTTAACTTTTTAGTATATCAGTTCATGCATGAAACTTGGATTTTGTCAGTATTATGTTAGCCATTTCACTGAAACTGTGATTGAGTCACTCGCAGTAGGAGTAGGCACACTTGTAATTAAGTTGTAGTTACAACATTTATCTATCATGTCTGAGCTCAAAGCTGTTCATCTGGAGTATCCATTTATGCAGTGTTGTTGTCTAATCTAACGTGTAGCATATGGGGCGGTAGGGTAGCCTTGTGGTTTAGGCGTTTGTTCGTCATGCCGAAAACATGGAGTCAATTCCCTACATGGGTACAATGTGTGAAGCCCACCTCTGGTGTCAACTGTCGTGATATTGCTAAAAGTGGAGTAAAACCATATTCACTCACTCACTCTTTCAACTCTTTGGAATGTCACTATGTGTGAAGCCCAACTCTGGTGTCAACTGTCGTATTATTGCTTGAATATTGCTAAAAGTGGCGTAAAACCATACTCACTCACTCACTTACTCTTTCAACTCTTTGGAATGTCACTATCCAAAAATAAGTTATGATTTTTGTCATGAGTAAATTTGCATACTGGACACAGATGAGCAGTCTGAGCACAGTGATAGACAACTAAGATTATTTCCACTGTTTATTAATGTTCGTTTAAAATATAACACAGTACATTTATCAATTTATATTTCTGTCTTTCCGCCCTGAGTTTAGTCTTCAAAATGAACTATTGTTTCAGATGTTGAAGCTCGGTCTACTATTAGTATGTTTGATGCCCCTGAGTCTTTGCCAGAACAAGTAAGTGAACGAACATTAGATCTCTGTGTTTTATGACTGTTTAAAAAACAATTGAATACACGACTGAAGGTATGATCCTATATTTTAAATCAAATAATTAATTCTTTAAGCGAAATATCTCATGAGATTGGGCGGGAATAAATAAAAATGACGTCCTATTATTGTTTTGGAATTTAGGGTAAACCATTCACAAAAAAAAGCCATACGGTACTTATGGATTTAATGTTTCCCCTAAAACCACCATTCCGTCCCTTCAAAGACCAATGAAACACTACTGAAACACACTGAGTTTGATACAGTAGATGAACTGCCATTTTTTCACATGGTTGTTCGAGTGTTATAGAAGGGAATAAAACCTCTGACAGAACAGACCGCCTCCGTGGTCTAGTGGTAGAGCGTCCGCCCGGAGAGCGGAAGGTCCGGGGTTCGATCCCCGGCCGCGTCATACCAAAAGACGTTAAAAGATGGTTCTTGTTGTTACCCTGTCTGGCGCTCGGCATTAATGGGCTAAAACAAGGACTGGTCGGCTTGGAGTCAGTATACTGTGTCTGAGTGTGGTATTCATGTTAAACTGCGGCATGGTATCTCAGTGAGCTGGCACTATAAATCGGCATCAGTCCGGACTAGTACAAGCAGCCACACAAACACACACACGTAAATGCACGTCGCTATAATCTTGGACGCGACGTTAAACCCCATTTCACCTCACCTCTGACAGAACATGAATATATTGAACAAATGAGGATATGAAACCTGCTGATTTTATGTTGGACTTTCAGAGACCTGGACATGTTCGGGCTGATTAATCTACTGTACTTAAAAGCAGACAAGAACCTAGATGGCACAATTACACAAACCGAGCTTGACGACATATTCAAGGGGTTCGATGCCAATGGTAAGTTCATGACAAACTGTACTTCTGGAACCACATGAAGCCCATGTAAATTGTCATTGCAAGAGCATAACAAGCCTAGCTGTCTGCCGAAACAGATTCCACTTGGCATAAAGACAACATATCTGTGGAAATTATATGAATGGACCACTGAAAATAACCGATGACTCCAGGTGTTTGCGAAAAGGGTAAGCATGTCCTGCTCTACCGGTAGCACCCTCCACTCACTCTGCATAAAAAGTAAGTGTCCCGTCTATTTAATGACGATTGTATTTGACTTCAATGACATACTGGACCAACGATAACAAATGTACCGACACGTCTCATTGACAGAATGAAGGTAGTTGTCATCATTTAGCGTCTTCAGTGTTTTGTGTACATTTGACATTGACGTTAAAATCGCTAGCCTTTGTTCATTAGTATGTGTCATTCCAGATTGCCAGGATTCGTTTAGTTCTGAGCAAAGTCATCATCCGTATTTTCTGAAATGATATTGCAACGTTTATGTGTACAGTAAACTACGTTTATAACGAACAAGCTTATAACGAACTGACGGATATAACGAAATGTGTTTTGATCCCGCTCATTTGCTGTATGTATGCTGTATATATGTTTATAACAAACTACGGTTATAACGAACCAAAATTAGTGGTCCCTTTGAGTTCGTTATAACTGTAGTTTACTGTATTTAATTCTCACTTGACCTTGACCCTGACCTTGATCCTGAATACTAATTTGACCTTGACCGTTTAGGTGACGGAGATGTAACGCCTGCGGAGTTTGTACCGACGTTGATGGCCATCACCCACTTCTCGAAGGAGTTGGCCAATGCGTACTTTCTCACTTGACCTTGACCCTGACCTTGACCCTGAGTACTAATTTGACCTTGACCGTTTAGGTGACGGAGATGTAACGCCTGCGGAGTTTGTACCGACGTGGATGGCCATCACCCACTTCTCGAAGGAGTTGGCCAATGCGTACTTTGTGCTTGCCGACCTCAATGCCGACGGCGTCATCGACCACAAAGACCTCACCATTCTCTACAGCAGGTTCGACGTTGACGGTGCGTACGACAATTCTTTGTCATAAGTGGTGGTGTTCGTGGATTTTTGTTTTTTGTTTGTTTGTTGTCTTACTCGACACCCAGCAATATTCCAGCTATATGATTGCGGGCTGTAAATAACCGAGTCCGGACCAGACAATCCAGTTATTGGCATCATGCGCATTGATCTTCGCAATTGGGATCGATGACATGCATCAACCAGGTCAGCGAGTCATCCATGTATCGCTATCGTTGTAACGTGTTCGTGACTTTCTTTCATTCAGGAGATGAAAAAGCATCTTATAACACTGACAATGCTCAAAACAGTTTTTAAGGAGAATACCTTTTTATTCTAACAGGAAATGGCAAGGTTTCGGGTGAAGAATTTAATCACAAGTGGCAAGATGTGAGTGTCTTTTAGATTATATACGAAGGGTAGCGCCATTAGGAATAGTACATAATATCAAATGATCCCCTATAGTATCATAGCCACAGAGGTGAGTGAGTGAGTGAGTGAGTGAGTGAGAGAGTGAGTGAGTGAGTGAGTGAGTGAGTGAGTGAGTGAGTGAGTGAGTGAGTGAGAGTGAGTGAGAGAGTGAGTGAATGAGTGAGTGAGAGAGTGAGTGAGTGTCTAACAGCTATGGCCATTAAGAAAGCGTTGAAACTTGAAAAGTTCGGGTATGAAAAATGAATAGAATTGCTTTGGTTGTTACTTATCTTGTTAAGCGATGTTAAGGGATGTAGAATGCATATTATCGTATTAAGTGTAATGAAAAACTAATTTTGCTTAAATTTATACAAAGATTATTAGACATATTTCAGCAAAACTGGCACCAACAAGTTTTCTCTTCACACTTTCGCAAGCATTATGTTGGTATTAAATCATTGTTACAACCAGAAAAATATTTAAGCATATTACAAGATAAAACTCAATTGAGATCTCTTTGTAAATTTAGAATATCTCTCCATAACTTCATTGTCAATAAATATCGTAGAACCAAGGATAGTGATTTTGAAAATTATATATGTTCTAACTGTACCAACCAGGAGATTGAAGACGAGTTTCATGTTCCTTGTATATGTGAAACATATTAAACGTTGAGATTAAAGTTTCTACCTAATTTAGATATTACACACAAAGACAACCAATGGATGATCAATTTGTTGAATTCGACCAATGAAGAAGTTATCAAATCTTTAGCAATGTATTTGAAACATGTATTTAGACTCAGGTGAATATATCATACTATGTTAAGATCACGTTGATTGTTATGTATCTGTTGAAACTGAACTGCACTATGGGCCATATGGCCTTGCATACTGAATAAACTGTCTGTTTCTGTGTCTGTCTGTCTGTCTGTCTGTAATAATACTGTGATTACATGTGTGATTCGAACTTGTTTGGAAGATCAGTTTATACAACGGAGGAATTCTGATGTCACAAATTCAAGTAAAGGAAAATTTTATAAAGTCATTAAAGAAAATATCTCACTTGAAACATATCTGTGTAATTTACCAAAACGAGTGTACATACCACTACTACTTTTCAGAACTTCTTGCCATTATTTACCGATTGAATGTGGAAGATGGAATCCCACCCCTTTATTAGATAGAAAGTGTACTGTTTGTAAAAGCCAAGACATTGCGGATGAATATCATTATATTTTTAAATGTGAATATTTTAAAGAAGTAAGACAATTATACATATCAAAGACTCTTATTGTACATCCATCTATGTTTAAACTTCAACAGATGTTTCATTGTAAAAATAATATCTTCTTGAAAAAATTATCAAAATATTGTAAAATAGTAATGGCTACATTTAAATAACTATTAAAGCTGCCATCACTATTATACGTCACATCTCCTGTTAAACCTCGACATGCTACTTTTTGAAGCCTTGGGCGTAATAAAGTTCTGTTCTGATGTAAATATCCGTCCGCTGGTTCAGATATACAAGGAGTCCGCCTTCGCTGTCCTCTTCACACGTGCGGACACTAACAAGGATGAACACTTGTCCAAAGCTGAATTTACAAAACTGTTTGAGCCGTTCGACACTGACAGTAAGTATTTCGGGTTTATTTTTTCCGTCACGCATTTCATGGTTATGTGAAACTCATACAGTTGTGTTGGTCCGTTTACTTGGGCGTGAGGCATGGTCAGAGCGCTGGGACAGTCACGCCGAATACCTGCTTTCGATTCTCATGTGAGGTGTTTTGTTAAGTTTGTGTGTTTATTGTTTAACGCCGCACTCAGCAATATTCCAGCTATATGACGGCGGTCTGTATATAATCGAGTCTGGACCAGACAATCAAGTGATTGATATCATGAGCATCGATCTACGAATTTGGGATACGATGACAATCATCAAGTCAGAGAGCCTGACCACCCGTAGCATAGTCATCAGTTACGGCAAGCATGGGTTGCTGAAGACCCGCATCTTCACGTGTCTGTTTTGTTCAGAGGACAACGCTGTGACAAAGGCTGAGTTCGAGGCTGGCTGGACCAAGGAGAATTTTGGAAACAAGGTCCAGGCCGACACACTGTTCCGTGGCATTGACAGTAACCATGACAACAAGATCACCAGCGTCGATACCAACAATCTTTATAGGATGTATAACGCTAACCGTGAGTCACGTGATCACTCATTGTTAACCGTAGTATAAGTGAATGCAACAACACCTCGTTTCAATGCTCAGAAGAAGTGTTGTGTCAAGAATATTGATGATTGTCTGCATATAGCAAATAGATCTTAAATCAACGCGCATTTTGTCCTAAATTCTTAGCACTCCCGCAAAGTGGGTTCGATGGGTAGGCCAGAGGGTAAAGCGTTTCCCTAAGTTCGACTCCCTTCATGGAAACATGTGTGAGTTTTTGTTTCCCCTGCAGTGATTTTGCGCGACTATTTCTAAACGCGGCGTAAAACCATACTCACTCTGCAAGTGATTCCTGTTATTCAAGCGACTTCCCCGTTGTTCTTGCGCATCCCCGTTGTCACTGTTATCTATAATACCGCGTAATCCTTTCACGTTATCTAATAATCCATGCTACAACAGAAAATTGGAATCTTAAATTCATTTGGGGTTGGCAAATTAATTTCATTTCCATTTCATATTTCAGACGACGACCACGTTGATCTGATAGAACTAGCAAAGGTATTTAGTAATTGTTGACCAAACTCCTAATTAACCATATTAATATATATATCCACATACTTTTACTTAATAATTTACGTTTGTATAATTTTACAAACGACTTTGGG